AGTTACAGTCCACTTAAAGTTACAGTCCACTTAAAGTTACAGTCCACTTAAAGTTACAGTCCACTTAAAGTTACAGTCCACTTAAAGTTACAGTCCACTTAAAGTTACAGTCCACTTAAAGTTACAGTCCACTTAAAAGTTACAGTCCACTTAAAAGTTACAGTCCACTTAAAAGTTACAGTCCACTTAAAGTTACAGTCCACTTAAAGTTACAGTCCACTTAAAGTTACAGTCCACTTAAAGTTACAGTCCACTTAAAGTTACAGTACACTTAAAAGTTACAGTACACTTAAAAGTTACCTTAAAAGTTACAGTCCACTTAAAAGTTACAGTCCACTTAAAAGTTACAGTCCACTTAAAAGTTACAGTCCACTTAAAAGTTACCTTAAAAGTTACAGTCCACTTAAAAGTTACAGTCCACTTAAAGTTACAGTCCACTTAAAAGTTACAGTCCACTTAAAAGTTACAGTCCACTTAAAAGTTACAGTCCCAGACCTGTTTACCCCCAAACTCCTAAAATCGTACAATATCGTGTCAAAATCGTACAATGCAGTATTTTGATAGTAAATAAATAAAAATACAGTATATATAATGTATACAATAAATACTCCTATAGCATGTTCAGTGGAATCGAGTTAAGCTGGCGTCAAAATATAGAACTGAAGGTTAACGGTAGATGACTGACGTTAACCGCAAACGGCGGTCACTTTGTTTTGCAGACGTGTATCGGCTAGTACAATATATTAATTAATATTTTGGTTAACGTGCTGATCTCATTATCCCAGTCTGTCACAGGTAAACATAAAGTCACCGGTGAAATTTAACGTTGTTCAAACTTGACGTCAGGTGGGCATAAAATTAAATGTATTAAAATAAGAATTAATTACCCAGTAACGAATTGGGACCCCCCACCCCTTTTTGTGTGTATGGTACAGTGAGCTTTAAAACACCAGCCCAGCCCCCCCCCCTCCCCCATAAACTTAACAAAATCCATTGTATATTATGATGTTACAGTCAACAAAATGTGACACGGGTTTTTACCACTGGTGATTCTGTCAGCCCAGTGGTTCCCAGAATAAGCGCCACATCGCCCTGGGCAAGGGGGTGGCTGCGGCTTCCTCATCGGGGCGTTGCGAAATATTTTTAAAAATGCATTATTTTATTTTCACTTTTAAACCAATGGGACAACTTTCGGTCGTAACAGTAACTCACTAAGAAATTGCTGTTTGCAGTTCCAGATGGCGCTCAGTGACCTACATACACGTTATATTTATTTTTATCCAACCCTTATTTTATTTGTGTATTCGCTATTTCGAATTGTACATGTTAGAATTCGACA